CGTCCGACAAGGACGGAGCATGCATGTCCCGGGAAAAATTATCCGTGCTCGCTTGGATCAATCGAAGACTGGAGCGAAGGCTTACGTCCAAATATCTCGCTGCGGCGATGTCTGTCTAGTCTGCTGTTGTCATGACTGTTTCCAAGTGTTCCCTTAGCCGTGGCCAATCGATACGCACGCGCATCCATTGAGCCGAAATCAATATCTCTTTCCTTCACCGGACGAGTAACAGCCCACGAAATCCTCGATTAGACCTGTGTAAAGAAGCTGACAAAAGCCCATCAGCAGGATAAGGATGAAGCGGACGATCCCACCGGCGAGATTCCGAAACGCATGACTTCGGATCGAGCCACGGCCGAAGCTCGGCGGAGCTTTCAGGCTGGAGAACCGTCTCATTCGACGGACGCACCGACGGACGGAGAGGAGAAATAGTACAAGAGGGACCTATGGATTGGTCAGCGGTGGAGTGTCCGCGAAAAGCAAGCGCTTCGGTCCGTTTCTCGTCTCCTCGGGGTTCCGGGGTCGAAAGTGGGGGCGGGCAGTTGTTGCCAAGGCTACATGGAGACAACACTGGTACAACGCACTTCTATTCTATCCAGGAAGGAGAACCGCACACTGCACCTCGACTCAAGTTCAACGTGAAGAAGACGAGCTCGGGTCTCTATGCTTCTTTCCTTTTCGGCTGTTCTCGCCAACGGAACGGACGAGAATAAGCGTGGTGGAACATCCGGACTTAGATACGAGCGGAACTGGAACTGAGCCTTCGAAGAAGAGGACGCGAGCGGCTCATCCAGGCAACCTATTGGAAAAAAGTGACGACCTCACGCTTGGCAGCGTCTCGTCTTCTCCGCGACAGGAGGACGGCAACTGCGGACGCGGACGAAGTTTGCGGATACGTCTCCCGGGAGCGCCAAAGTACGTCATCAAACTTTTTACTCAGAACTTATTTTGCAATATCATTAGCAACATGTATGCTCGCATCCCTCGTCGAGGGCCATTCCGACTGCGTTTTTCGCCCTTGTGCCGGGGGTTTCCCGCACACGGGAATTGTCTCCAATGTTGGAGCGACGCTTCTAGGTACCTGGTAGAGATGTCCACTCTCGATACTGTTTGCCTTTGAGAGAGAGGCGGACCGGAGAATACATGGTGTTCCGCCGAAATTGATTTCTCACGCCATCATTTCTTGACGCTCCGTTTTCTCGAACATGCGCAGAAGAAGGAAATTCGATGCTCTATCTCTCTCTACCGAATTTTCCGAAGAGCCGCTCGCAGCGTCGAACCATGGGAACCTCAAATCGAGATGCGGTCTAGGATCGACTGCAGCGAAGAGCAGTCCGCGCCGGCACTCAAGAGAATCGATTCCCGGGGTGCTCGAGTCTCCCTGCTCGGATCTGCCATTCTTCTTCAAAAAAGATGAATTCTCATCGGAGTCACCTGACGGATCATCGGACAGGATCAGTGAGCCTAGATCAAAGATATCGAGCAGTTGGGAATGCTGCAATGGCGATCCGCAGAGACGACCACGACGGCGGTGGATCTGAAGAAAAGTTTCCAGTTTGACCTCGGGAAGTCCTTCGCGGAGAATTTTTCGGACCGTTGAAGACCGGTCGACGCTCGTGGATAATAAGTCGTCTATCTCGAGTGGAATGAAGATTAATCGGAGATGGATATCCCCAAAGCGCGGAAGCCCCTCGTTTTGTTCGTCGATGAAGAAGATCCTGTTCCCTAGGTTGCTCATACGTCGATTCCCATCGGAAGCACGACCAGCGCCGCCATCACCACCGCCGCTTCAACTACGACTAGTAGTTCCATGCCGGGAAGACGAGAGCGGAATGGAAGCAAGCGGGCGATCGGGCGGGCGGGCGCACATCCACGCAGTCAAGCAGTCGGCCAGGCAGGCAGGCGGGCGGACGGGCAGGCAGGCACATAGAGAACTACCAAAGAACCTATCCATCCATCTAGCCAAACAGCCAAGCAAGCAGCCATCCAGTCCGCCGGCAAGCGGCTACCTACTAGAAATTGGAAAGAATGCCGCGCTCCTACGTCGGCGGCGACGACGACGTTGTCTGACTACGTTGAGTTCAGGCGAGCCGCCGTTTCTGCTTCTAAGCGGAGTTGTTTCTCGACGTTCTGCGGGCAATCCTCGCCGTTCCATCCCCGTCTGTCTTAGCTTGCATCTGCTCACATTCTCGTTCAGCGAACATAGGAGTGCTCAGGTCGAAATCGATTGATGCTGCTTTCCTTCGCCGCCGCCGACTCGGGGAATGCGGTGCTCATCCTCAACTCGCTCGAGCTCAAATTCCGTGACGTGATGATGTTTGGAATCGAAGTTACGCTCCGAGATCGCGGATCTCGGACGAGGAGAAAGAAGTCCAGGACTGGAGATTCCCGAGCCTGACTGACTCTGACAACGGAAGTGTTTCGGTCTTAAGAGAGAAAAATCCACTCCGGAATTGAACGGGGGGAACCCAGGACGGAATATGTCGACGGCAGGCGACGGAGCCCCCTGGATTCTGAGGTTTGTGTCGTGACGCTTGCGTCGATGACCTCGGGATGGACTGGAAGGACCTCGTCGCGGCTTCCTCTCGTTCCATTGGCGGCTTCCGGCGCTTTCGTAAGTCCTGTGCCCTTGGAACGAAGTTTCGGCTCACCATCATCGTCGGTCGTTACGAGCGTGTCAATCTATCGATGAGAGTGACGGTGTGTGTTTGTTTGTACGCTCGTCTGGACGAACATTTGTTTAAGCGGCTGGAGTTTCTTCGCTGAAATCCCTCATTGCTGTGATTGTCATCGTCGCCGTCAAAAATCTGTCCAACCGATCGACTGACTGAATGAGTGACTCCCTTTCTGGCTCCGTGAAAACGTTCATCTCGTTCAATTATTATCATCGTCATCTCGGTTCGTCGTTGGCGTGATTTTCCAACTCGGTCTCCAGGGAGCGAAAGTCTCCTCCCAACTTCGACGGATGATGCCGAGTTCAGGAGCGGCCAGCGAGTCGGAATGTTTCCTCTCCGAGCATCCGGCGCACTTATCCTACTCTGTGCTTGTCAGGTGGTGCTTTCGGAAAAGCGAGGGAAACAATTGTTCTTGTCCGCTACGAACGGTGCGTATGGAGACGCTCGACAGAGCGAGAAAAAACTGACTTCCGCTCAAGTTTCTCCCGTAGACTGAGCGGAGAATCTCCTCGTGGAACAGAGATCGAGCTTCAGAGGCGACGGCGGAGAAACGTCAAGACTGAGGAAGCGGCGAGGGCAGTCAACGCTGCGAGCTCCGGTGAAGTTGATTTGTCATGTGAAATATGTGGAGGATATATCGGCTAGGGAACACTCGAGGCTCTTAGCGACGCGATGTTTGCTTGGAAACGAGAGACCTGCTCTTTCTATCGTCATAGCGTGGAATATCGATTGTGAATTAAGACTAACGGGACGTGACCCAGCGCTCCAAGGAAACCTACGGAGTTCTTGGGTTTCGCCTCGAGATAGATGTATTCGCTTTTCCACGGAATGAAACACTCGACTCGACTTAGTGCGATGGATGGATGGATGAACGAGTAAGCGAGAGAACGAATGGACGTTCCTAGCGGCTAACCAAGCGAGCATCGACCGAACGACCGGGCGGACAACCTAACTCGGGAGAATAGGCATCGATATTATCGAATCGGCTCGGGAGAATAGAGTTGGTCGGATGTCCTGCGGATCCCCATCCGCGGGGTTTTGAATTTTATGGAGCGTCCGAGATTCTGCCGAGGCGCAGACAACTCCAATCGATCTGGAATCTGAAATCCGCTCAATCCACCGGATCCATACGGCTTCTTTCGATTGTTTCCGAACGGAGCGGAGTGGCCTCGGACGACTACTATTAATTCTTGTCCTCTCGTCGATCGTTGTTCGGACCATCTTCTCGCTGTTGGTGATATGCAATATGCCTCCACGGTGGCTGTGGCCGTCTCTTCCAGAAACATAAACATCTGTTGGAATTCATTAGCTAGATTCATGTAGCGCAATGATTCCAGTTGATATGTTCAACGAGGCAATTTATTCCGATCCCAACCCGATCGGGCTTGTCGTCTGGTCCGATCGACGTTATTAGGGGAGATACTCGGAAAGGTTTTATTGGAAGTGAGCTTTCGGTCATCGGCACTTCGACTCGACGAGCCTAAGTTATCGATTGGCGGTTTCCCTGTTTAATTTATTCAGGGTCCGACCGATCGATTGATGTGATACCACTTCTTGGTGAGCGACGGGCTTGACTCGAGCGACGATCTCGACTCGTCGTCGATGACCCCTGGAAACCGCGGTTGATCGATGAAACGAAGTATTTCCCTGCGGAAACCGTCGCCTCTCGATCTGGTTCACTCGGAGCGCTCTTTGTTTCCCTCCAGCAAGCCGGATCTCGCTCATCTACTCCGGAGTGGAGCTGCTTGCGGCTTTGAAATCCAAATCGAGCAAGCTTTGGAAAGTCTGCACCAAAGTGCCTTTTAGGCAAAACATTTACGATTCCGAAAGTGACAACTCTTGCTCCGTCCCTATTTTTGTTCCGATCGTTCCACAACCGACCGACCGACCAACCAAGCAACCGACCGACCGTCCGACCAACTGACTACCACTCCGACGGCCCGCTGTGCCGAAGATACTCGGAACAGATACTGCGAGTTGATCCGCGGCGGCGACGACGACGATGATCAGAGAAGGTACCCGAACCGGCTGTTAACTTCGACAGACGAGCAGCTGGTTCGAGTGCCGTGTGACTTGCGTCGATGTCTCCTGGAGGCTGGTGACGCGTCGTCCCAGGGATTCCATACGTGAATTCTTCCTTACCCTTCCCAACCTCGGTCGTGAAATTTGCACAAGAATTTCGGTCCTTGGCTCCGGAGGTTAAGCATTCGGCAAGATTTATGATGAATATATCGTTGCTCGTCGATGGCTGAGAAACTCGGAGCCGGATCCTCTGTCAAGATACGATTCGATTACGAAAGGTGGTCTTTGAAGCCCCTAACTTACCTTGTCGGAGGATACCGTCGAGACCTTCATGCGTAAACTAGTCCAGCTGTTGTTTCGAGAGCAACGCATTTCAACAACTGCTTCTATAATAGTTTTCCTCATAATTGACCTCCTGTCAGGATGGATGTTCGTAACGGGGAGCATATCGAGGGAAACGGGCGCGTCGGGAAAAATGATGATCGTGTATATTCCAGTTCTGAAATATGCTTTCTCTCCTTCCAGGTTCGAATCCAAGTCAAGACTTGGGGGCACCGCAGACTCACAGCCCATATCCGACAGCCCCGGAGTTCAGGCGTCGACATGTGGCGATTGTAGATATCCTCATCTGTATCTCGCTGAAAGAGAGATTATCAGGGTAATCATTCTGAATGCGAACTCCCCTGGACAATCCCGCGTTCAGGCCCAGGGAGGAACTCAGTGACGGAATCAGGAATGTTTGAGCGATTCGATCGGTGGACGGGAGCTCGCATACCGAATGCTTCACCAGTCGACGTTTCCCGCGGCCTTCCATCGGAGCGAAGGGCGCCAACGAATCACTTCGAATCGGTGCTAGGCTGGGATAGGCCGCGCCAACCTGGGTGTTTCAGTGGAACATTCGCGCCGCTGGTTGCGACCTTCGGAAAGGCGCTTCAGGTCGATTCCGGTGGTGCTTCGGAAACGCTGCGTCGTTTTGCTCATTGCGCTTTGGTGACGCTCCCTGCATGGACCGCGACAGACGGCGCTCCGAAGGAGCAGTGCCGCAGTGTCAGCGACGGCGATTAGCACAACGACTCCCATCGCTGCTTCCACCACCACCGCCGCCAGTATTACCACCATCATCATCTCGAGCAAGGAATGCTCGACAATGCCGCCTTGGACTTCCCGAGCCTACTTGTGTGTTTCGTGTTTGTTTGTGCGGGACTAACAGGAAGCCGAGTCGAGGAGAACTCATTTCAGTGGCGGAGTCACGAGCGAATATTTCCGCTCCTGCTTTTAGCGAAGGGGTTGGGTTTCATCCGCTGAGCGTTCCGACGCGGAGGTCGGAGACGAGCAACGAACAGCTGAAAGGACTACTCGAGGGAATGCATTGAATGATGTATCGTGATTCTCTTCGTCGAGGGCGACTGGACCCGAGGTCGGATTTTATCCTCTGCAAGGTCGACCTCGAGGGAAGACGTGCTGATGAGCTCACTCCGATCCCGAAATCGCCTCCCGAGGATTTGCGTGAAGCCCGACTGCCTCGGTAGCGGGTTACCGAATCAGTATCTCAATCGTGCGAAAGATGCGTTGGGAGATTTTGCGTTCGGTCTCGCGTCGAAGTCGGCCTGCATCCACATGCGGAAGACGATCTCAAGGTCCTCATCTCCTGCTGTTGATGCACTCGTAGCTCATTGTCTCTTGAACGGTGCCCGAGGGAGGGGAGAGTGGCGCTCGTGATAATGACCGGATCAGGATTCCGATTCCTAACTGCCTTAGTCATGCCTTCGCTAGATGATGTTATGCATATCCTATCTCTGAATGGGAACGGAAATTTCCCGGACGCCGATTGGAATTAATGGGAACATCTAGTAATCCGCATTTCCTTTCAGCGCTTTCCCTCATTGAACTCGGCGGAGTACGGAGAGGGGAGGATCGGAAGGAACCCCGGGTCGGATACAGCGGCCGAGCGTCATCCGGGAGATTTTGTGATCTTCTCTACTTTTAACCGACTAATAAACTTGGAGGTCGCAGCCCGCTGGCGCCCCGCTGCGAAATGACCATGCGAAACTTTTCTCCTTCTCTCCCTCCCTTGCCGTGGGGAAAAGCTCGTCGCAGACTCATTGTTGCACTTTCCAATTTCTTTCTACCGCACAGCGCACGGAGACCGTCCCTTGATCGCAGATTTTCATGAGCGACCGACTATTGTCTTTCCAGAGCTCATCCTCCAAGCCGCATTGAATGGTGGATTCGAGCGCCTTCCGCGAATGACGAACAGCCCAAAAAAGGAACTCGGGAAAGGTGAGTCTCCCTGATTTCGCAAATTGTCTCAGATAATAGTGATGGCGCGTTCATCCGGCCACGCGTGGAAAGCTGCGCTGCACTTGATGAATCCAATCGGTTTGCGTTTCCCCAGTGGTAGCCTAGCCGAAGTTTTGATTCGAAGGGCGTGAGTAATGTGCAGTCGTAGGTGTCTTTCCCTTTCTTGCATTGTGATAGAGTTCTCGTTTGCCCTTCCGTCAGCTCCAATCAGCCGAAAACAATGCGTCAACGACATCGAGAAATATTCATTCGATTCGCTTCGAACACAACCGTGGAGCTCTCGTGCGAACAATGTACATTCTCAGAAAACGAAACCTAATTAGAAATCTCATTTCGGATGATATCACAGAACGCTCCATGAACAGCCAAGTGGAACCCTCGCTCTGAACTGCCTGATAGTGAGCCCGTCCAGCCGCGAGAATAGAACCCACACAAGATTATCTTCCGAGGATCCTTCGTCACCGGGAAAAGTGGGGGGAAAAATCCGAGGGCAACTCGATGAGAAAATTTCGGACTTCGGACAAGGCATTCGTCGTATCCCAATCGAGATGCTTGGCGCGAATCATTCGATCCTCTCGCACGATCCTCTCATATTCTGACCCGCTGCGTGGAGACTTCCGACCCCTATTGTCGTTGACATCGAACCATCGAATGCCGACGGTCTCGTTTGATCGTAACCGAGCGATTCACAAACCACATTCACGGTACCGAGAGCTGACGACTCTCGGAAACGGCGGAAACACCCACTCACCCACAATTCTCGCGGTAGTTAGCGAGCGGTTTAGCTGATAGCGGTTGGCCGCGATCTTCGGTGATTTGTTCCGCTCGGAACGAAATCGCTCCAAGGAAACGTCAACATCAAGAGAAACAAAAACCGCGGGAAACGTGACCCCTTCTTATTTCGCTGGCTCAAGCTCTGGGAGAAGCCCTTTACCTTCGCATAGCGCTCGCTGAGGTATCGGAACTACCGATCCACCTCATTCCTTAGGTTGTTCCCGACTTCTTCCATGGAGCTTCGAATGGGATATACTCAACCTAATTTTCCCTCCAGGTACCTACTCATGTTCCGCCTGTCACTTGAAGTTTCCGTGGTTGTCAGATCTGCGGGCGCATTATCGCGCAAACCACTACCGGTAAGTCTTCGGCACGTGCAACCCGCGCGACGCAAGTTCATGCACGAGGAAAGAATTTTCGATTCTCGCCCATCGTCGGAAGCATCTGATCCGTATCCACTTATCGATTACAGAGGTGACGGGGAACGTCGTTTCGAGTGCTCACTGTGTCATTACGAGTTCAAGCAGAAGATCCATCTCCAACGACACATGGAAAAGAAGCACTTCGTACCGCAAATCAGATCCGCTCCGAAGGCGCGAAGTCCACTTCCTTCTAGTCAGATACAGCTTATGGAGGGTGGGAGCTGTCACATGGCGAATCCTGCGAGGGATCTGGTGTCCAGCTTCAATCAAGGCGGACCAGGAAGCACCGACATGTCACCGCTAGACTATCGAACTTTGCACAATGCGATGCTGGAAAACCTCCAGAAAGCAATCGAGGCACGGGCCGTCGCGGCCAATATCACCGAATTCAACAATATGCTGAGTGGTGAGTGTTCGCTCCCGACCCCCGTGAGCTCTGACGGGGGGGGGAGACCTCCTCCCGACGAATTTTCGATATATAGATATTCCGCGTCACGTGCTCAACGATTTGACGCTTTCGACTCTCGTCCAGAACTCCACGAGGTCGGGATTAAGCCATTAAGATAATTTTCCCTTCCAGTGGCAGCAGCCGTTCGAGCAGCGGCTCCGCAGGAGAGAGACGAAGATGATAAGTGAGAAGTTGAACCAAAAGAAGCATACAGTTCCGACAAGTACCAACAGAACACAGAAAAAGAATGTATGTGACATGAATAGCGCATGAATAGTCGACGTTGATGATCGTGGAGAAGAGGATGATGATGAGGCGTTGATGGACGATGAGCTTCCGAACGATGAACAGCGCTCGTCTAGCAATCCAGCGCAGCATTGCCACAGTCCTGTGTGCGAGAAGAGTGCTTCTCCAAAGTGCTTCCGGAGACAGACTTCCAAAAGACCGGAGAAATTCCACACCGAGTCTACCAAGTACTTTATTCTCGTCTATAGATTGTTATTTGGCGCGGTGATCGGCGCCGCGTGCCGCCGTCGAGCTTGTTAGTACTAGAGATGATCGATCGGACGAACGGTTTGTGCAGAGGTTTGAACAGAAAACACAAACAAAGATCACTCCGAAGTCATGGTTCGTAGACGGAGTCTTCTGCTGTGATGATTGTAAACCGTCCCCAGAGAGGACAGTTGTTAACAAGTGAAATCATGATCAAGAGACGGATCCTGAGACACGCGATCGCCCACCGGAGCTGACGGAGGCTGAGAACGGCAGCATCGACCGTTGGAGGTCGACGTCGCGTCGCCGTCGTCTCGGCCGCCCTCGCTCTTGTTGTTCTCGTCGCCGTAGTCGTCGTCGGTTTCGGCCCTTCCAAGCCCCTTTCCACCGAAAGTGACAGCCACGCTAGTCATGAATCTCCGCTAAAGTCGCGAATTCCTCGCGTAACCAGCAGGATAATGTGCTAATCTTCAATTGCCTTCCCTTTGTGCACCTACTCGTAGCAGTCGATGACCGTGTCGATGATCATGATGATGATGATCGAATGTCAGATTTCCCATCTGCTATTTTCACTCCTACAATCGCTGCTGCTGCTGCTGCTTGTACTCGATGAGACAGAAAGAGAGGGAGAGAATCTGCGCTTTCGGAGGCGAGCTTAGAATAGTACCTACTAGAATAGTAGTACTACATACAATAGTGAATACACACACGTAACCCACACTAGCGGAATCAAATAGAATTGATGAATTTCAAGACGCAGAACACTAACTTCCGACATCAGCAGACCTTTTTATCGTGATGATGACGACTTCGACGTTTATATAACTATATATGTCGTCATAGAGTACTTTCAATATGATAAAACTCCTCGTGTTGATGAACATCAGAAATGAGGA